TAAAGCATGCAGGCTTCATTGTCATTTCTAGCACTCTGATGCAACCATCATCTGAAGCTAAGATCACTTTATCTGAGGTGCACCAGTCAACATCAAGTACTCGGAAACTGACATTTCTGCCACTTCTTAAACTGCTTACCATCTGTACCTAAGGGATACAGCAAATCTTAGCTTTAAAATGATTATCAGAATTGGGAAAAATCTTCCTGGTGGTATTTTTCAGGCATCACCATTATTTTAAACATAAATGTAAAAGAGTTTCACAGATTACAATTATTCTGTATATGAATTAATACTAGTATTAATTTTTGCTCCTATACTGCACAGAAATATATTTCACCTTTGCAGCTCAGCTTATCTTTTAAAGCCACCTACTAATATCTTGAGTTCAATGTTCCAGTAATCCTGGGGAAATTTCTTGAAATGAAAATTCACAAAAAAACTGTGTTTCCTTCTTTCCTAGCGTCAATCTTCATTTCAAATACTGACGCGGTTATTTCATTTATTACCTTTTTAAAGAAAACATATTGCAATCAATATTATTTGGTGGGCATTCTTCCCTTTTACCTTTTACCTTTACCTTTACCTTTTTTCTTCCCTTTTAATTCTCCTTTTAAAAAGAATGCACTTTTGGATAAAATGTGATCATCTTAAGTATCAAAAAATATTTGAAAAATATTAAGTAATTTTAATTGCAAAAGTATCGTCTATTCATTGTGTTGGTTGGTTGATGTCATTTGTTTATTCTCCAGGAGTTCAAAGCAGCTTATATTGATTCATTTATTTTATCCCCACAACAACCCTGTGAGTATGGATTGAGAGCAAGTGATTGGCCAAAACCCATCTAGTGAGCTTCCATGGCCAAGGATGGACTTGAATTTGGGTCTCCCGAATCCAACTCTTTAACCACTGGAAAGAATGATACAATAATCCGAATATAAGTGTATCATCCCTAATTTGGCCTCCGCATGCAATCAATACTTCTAAACAGGTTTACTGAATTAAAGGAGGCCTTTCTATATAAATAAACAAATCAAATAAATAATTATTTAATAATTATTTCCTAAGTATTTACACTTATGTATTACCATAAGTAAATACAGATCCTCCATTTTCATATTGTCTTAAATTCTAATCTTATTAACTCTTAGGCTTTCTTTAACCCATTAATTGTGGATATCTAATATATCTCTTACTTAGTTTTAAATATGGGGATGAATCAGAGCAGAAAGAGCAACATCGAAAAGAAGAAAATTGTCTGGTTCTATAGTCCCATGCTTAACTATAACAGTTTCTAGTCCTAAAATGTTTGGATGTGGAATTAGTTTACATCTTCTATGTAAAAGAGAAAAGCATGCTGCAACAAGGAAGTAAAAGGCCCAATCTGAAGGATGAAGCAAACATACTATTTTGCTATAAATTAGCAAGGTTTTATACTCAAATCTGTGCTGTTGTTTAGGAAATACATAAAAATGCAACAGTGAAAAACTTGGATTTAAATGAATTTATATAAATTGGACTTCATCTTTCACTGACTTAAATTGACTCTGCCTACTATGTCCTTCAACTAGCCACCTGCAGCCTGTATTCCATGAAGGGAATGACAGCAGAGCAAGATTTAGGTGTTTTCAACACCGGAACCTTCTACCTAAGCAACCTTCTATTCAGTAACTATGCTGAATCAAGACGTGAAACTTTTGGGGTGTTGTGAGTCACAACTCTTGCTTCTTCAAATTCCAGAAGGCTGCAGGGGGCCATCTAGTAATGTGATGTCATCAGAAAGAGCCAACATTTTTCAGGATTTAATGATGGAAATTTTTAAAAAATCTGAGATGCGAGCCATTATGATTCCCTCTTTTAACCCTTCTTCCCAAATGATTCCCAATTTCTGGTTAATTTAGGGGCCATCTTTCTGGGTTATCTTCCCATTCTAATAATACCTGAAAATAAATACAAACAGGCTGAGACTAGCCTGAAAAAATTGTGATTCAGTCCACTAGCACAAAAAGGATGGGGATCCTTTCTATAACACTTCATACCTGATTATAATTCTCTAAGTGATACCTATGCCTCCCCCGACTCTGAAAATTGTGATTAAAAATAATCTTACTATGTCTTAAGTACCAAAAAGAAAAAAAAATCAGTAACTGACATCAGGCTAAAATATCTGGAAAAAGTACAAATCTTAATTAGTTTATCTCAAAAAAGATATTAAAAAAAAAATGTTACTATATAGAACAAATTCAGAGGAAAAAAAATCAGCCAAGCTGATACCTTACCTCCTTTGTATCCCAAACTTCAGCCCCGTCATTGTACATTGCTATCAGCTTTTGATTTCCTTTCCCAGGAGCAAAGCGTATCTTCCTCACCCAGCCTCGGTGTGTAGGGATGCCCCTGGAAGAACATGAAGAAGACACAGATGGGAAAAACTGCTTATTATATATCCATCTAGATAGTATTGATTAAAAAACAAACAAGAAATGAAGAATTGTAAGTTAACACTCTCTATGGTTCTGATCATATTCTTCTTCCAATTAAATACGTCACAAGTTGTAATTAGAAGACAAATCAGGAGGCAGCAGAAGAAAAATATAATTAAATGTTATATCAAATTATTATGGTTGGTAACTTTGTCAGACATTTATTGTGTACATATGTTCAGAAACAAAAGTCTATGATTGACTCTTAGAAGCAACAATTTCAACATTATGTTTTGTTATGAGTTTGGCCCAAATTGTATATAGTTTAGGAAGAAGGTTTTGGTTTTGGGGATTTTTATGCCTTTGAGTCACTCTTGATTCCTGGTGGTTGCCTGGACAAGTCCCTGTCATCCACTTGGCAACATTTTTGTAAGAGGTTTGCTACCGCTTTCCTAGGGCTGAAAGAGAGTTGACTGGCCAAAGTCACCCACTGCTGTTAATCACTACACCAAACTATCTCTCTTAGTGTGATTACCATCAAAAAGTGAAAACAATGCTCATGTTCCATTTAGATGATAACTGATTTTGTGAAACACTTTCCATACATTCTAAGAGATTTTAAGAAATATCAGGATACTTCTACTTATATGCACATTGAATAATTTGTTTATTTAACAAACTGTTCCATTATTACTGTCTAGTAATCTGAAATATACATAACATATAGAATCAAACTAAACACTTACCAGCCATTACTATAACCCATTTTCAGTTACTCAAATCACTTGAGTGTTGATTTATGTAAAGCAACATACTATGTAAATTGCCATTAAGAAGTCAAATATTGGACTTCAGTCACAAGATACAAATCGTTTATGATTTCGGTCTTATGGAATTTTAAGCAGATTACCTGGATACACGAGCTTTTAAATCCCAGAAGTTCAAATTGCCATCAACATCTCCCAGAACCAAGATATCACCTTTCCATGCAATGCATGTAATACTGCCCATACTTCCCTACAAAAATTTAAAAAGCAAAGATTAAAAATCAGCTAAACAGTAATTGAAATATACATAAACCTAGATAATTGCCTCTTACTACCCCCAACTCCATCATTTAAACATATAAATCAACTGGGTAATCATTTTAATAACATTAATCTTACCCCACCAACAATGGAATTTTAATATATCTATTAATATCCATAGCTGACCAGAAGGAATGTATGGGAAAGCAGTTGTACTTTTAAGAGTAACATGAGGCAGTAATTCAAGTTAAGTATTATCTATGGATCCCAGATACATTTGATACAACACAAACACATACCACAGAATTGTAGTGAGATCCTACAAACTTGGAATTGACAAAGAGAGATGCAATAGATGTAATGATGTAATAACATGGCAGATGTACCGCACAATATCAGATTGCCCAATGACGCAACTTTTTTGGATTACTTAGTTAGAAATATTCTGGCTCAATTCAGATTCACTTTCAAAATCTTGCAACTGGCTTTGGAACTGCACTTTGTAACATGGGTGAAATGGGCAAATTAAGACAAATTCATGGAAGCCTGAATCAATCATTTATATTTCTATGTCAAGAACCAGATACTGCAGAACTTTCCTTCATTTTTTATTTTATCAGTAGATAGAAGGAAGATAGATGAAGTAGGAAGTATGAACAGACACAGAAGTTTCACTATATCTATTGCAAACTTTTTAGTTCTATAAACTATGAAAAATAGAAATTCAGTGACAAACTTACATCAGGTGGAATTCTTGCACTGTCTTTGACAGAATTCCCCTCCACTGTCAAGTGATAAACTTGTCCATCAGTATCTGTAAAAACAAAGTGCTCCCGAGCAGAAATGTTCTGGCTTAATTCAGATTTACTCTCTGCTTCCTGCAACAAGCTTTGGAAAAGAAAGCAGCAAGTGTTTAATTCAGTCTACATTTGTACTACATGTGCATGTGCACAAATGCTTAAAATATATGTAACAGGAAAGAAATCCTGTATTAATTAACTTACCATAAAGCCTTACTATAACATCATACTATTGCTGTGAACTAAGTAGGACTGTCATGAGTAAGATAGGTAGTCATATTTATTTGAAATATTTATTTGAAATAAATAAATAAATAAATAAATAAACAAAGAAGCAAAAATAAAATACAATCTATACTGTGGTATAGAAAAAATGGATTGATAAAATCATATTTTAATATTAAGTTGTCATCTTATATGATGTAGGCAAAGGATATATTTTACTGCAGTGTTGTACATCAGATTTTGACATTTAATTAATTCTTTTGGTTGCTGTCAAAATGCTGCAACTTTATTGAAAGGTTAGCTGATTTAAATCACAACCCATCTGAATTTTTCATTTTCATAGTCCAGAACTAGTGGCAGCAACGCTATTGGAGAATAATCTTGGGCAGAGGACCTCTCAGAGAAATCTTGATGTGGGTTTTCATTTAGACTGGAATTCGTACCTGATCATTGAAGACTCCAGACTGCTCTGCTCTGTGTCTGATACCACTGTTTGCCGCGCCATCGCCTCACGGGCTGCAAGCTGCTTCTTTCTTAAACTCTTTAGATTATGAGAAGGAGACCATTCCTAAGAGAGGAAAAGCCAGACTTTTCATATGTAAAGATCTGCCAACACAAAAGTCACTCATATGTATTTGGAGAATTTTTTTTTAAAAAAAATAGAATAATATACAAGTCACTTCCATATTTTTTCTATTAATCGGCATAAAAAAGAAAAACAATAAAAGATAGGTATTTACCCAATGGATTTTAAGAATTATTCAAGCAAATAGTTGAATTTCAAGTCATGCAAGAATAAGTTAATGTTTATATATGAAGCGAAGCCGGCAAAAATGTATTTCTTACCAAAGCAGTAATTGTAGGGAAGTTTTTTGACATTTCTCTCAGAAGAGTACATGTCCTGATATCCCATAATTCCAAAGGTTTATCTTTGAATACAACTGCCAAATACTGCCAAAAATTGGGGGGGGGGGAAACCCAAGATAAGAAAAACATAGGAAAATTTCTCAGCAGTTTCCAAATACTATTGACCTGAATGAAAGCTGCAAAGCCATAACTATCACCTCAAATTCTAAATGCATATCCCTTAATCCTCTCATCTTCCATTAATTTTTACTAGGGTAAAATTTGGTGCAATAACATGTGTGAAGATTCCTTCCATCCACTGTTAAATTGCAGTGGGGGGGGGCAAAGGATTTCTGAAATACATTTAATTTTATTTTTACGGGGAAGATGGTGGTGACTGAAAGTTCAAAACAAAACATGAGGAAAAAAATCATATGAGAAACTGTGAAATACATTTAACTATTCTTTGGAGAAGACAAATTTGAAACAGTGAATTTGAAAAGGTCTTAATCTTACCTTACAAAAAAGGATTTTTTAAAAAAATCTTAAACATATATGAACTCAGAGTAACTGATTCTGTACAGTTAGCATGATGCTAAGAGTACTTTCCAATCGTAAAGCCATATTCATAAATATGTCTCACTACAGAATGAGTGAATTTGGAAAGGTCTTAACCTTACCTTACAAAAAAGGATTTTTTTAAAATCTTAAACATATATGAATTCAGAGTAACTGATTCTGCACAGTTAGTATGATGCTAAGAGTACTTTCCAATGGTAAAGCCATATTCATAAATATGTCTCACTACAGAAAAGAAAGTTTGATTTTTGATGCCTTGCAAAAAAGTTTCCATTTTCCAATGCCTTTAAATATATGGAGTTTGATAAATATGTTTACTTGTAATTCATTTTGTTTTGTCAATTGCCCTAGAATATCTGTTTAAAGGCTGTATAGAACTCCTTATATAAATAATTTACCAACACAGCATTGTTCCTAATAACTAAGCCCTGTGAAACTCTTTCTTTACTTCCTTAAGAAGCCTAAATTTACTACTTTAATGAAATTTGCAATAACATAGCATTTATAATTAATTTATGGAAACGTTATGTCTAATATATGCTAACACGGGAAATGAAGAAGACAAGACATAGGTTTCTGGATCAATTGCAGTATAATATTACTTTGAAATAGAATTTTTTAGTGTCCTATTATTGCAGAAAGCATGCCAAAGTAAACTAGGAAATGGTTCTGAAGAAAGGGGAACAGAAGAATAAGAATAATTTTATATCCTTCTTCACCAGCAAAGCACTCAGCATATTTGAATGATAGGCAGCCCTATCATATGCACTAGCTTTTCATCTGAACATTCAAATTCATTTGCTTGAATTTTCAAAGATGGTTACACAATAGATTCTATATAAAGAAACATGTACATAATTAGTGTAACTTTCTAAAGGAGTCTTAACATAACCCAGTACAGGGAACACACTGGTAGAGATCTGCTTACTTCAAGTGAGACACCTTTATCATTTCAATGGCTGGTTCATCGCTGCCTCGCTCCCCACGAAAGGCAATGCTTCTACCTAAGAAAATGATGTACAAAATATGTAAGCTATCCAACACAAGTAAAGCTATTGTGGCTGATCTTTCAAATGCTCTTACTTTAATTACATTACATTTTCCCTTCTTAACCTCTTAATCTCCAAGTCTCATAACATTACATTTTCTGTATTATCTTTGAATACAACTTTATTCAACTTTATTTATTATAAATAAACCCCAGAGATATTGAACATGAGATATTGCTAAACCTTTGGCTCCAAGATATCCCATTTTTCACATTTCTTTTCTTCTAATTTTAAAAAGCTCAATGTAAAATATAGTAAATGCAAACAATATCTTTGTGTTCTTCGATGAATCCTATCTGTTCAGTCCAATCAGCACTCAGTGCTGAAAGTCTCTTATGTGTCTTAGTCATATAAACTACTTTTGTTATAAATTCATGACACAATAACTTCTGCAAGAAATTACATATTACCTAAAGGTGTCCCAGAGAGCTAAGAGTGTGAAAGTTGCTGCATCCATTATATTCATTATACTGAAGAGCAACCATTGCTCCTCACATGAACCTATTCTTATAGATCCCAATTTACAATCAGCTTCCAGGGATGCCATTCCTTTATCTTACAAATCAGATCGTTCTGCAGGGAGCTCAATATCAACAGCCATTGTGATACAACCCCTGCCCCATGCTTATTTATGAGAAAATGGATATTCCAAACCAGGATTATTCTTTTTGTGGTCCATCTTTCTCCTCCACCAGTATTACATAATATACAATTGTGTTTAAAATATAGTGTAGGAGTTACTTCAGAAAATACAAGGTTAGTTTCTATTTCATCAGCTGTTTCTAAAACTTTATTTCCTTTTTGTAGCAGTTTTCTTTACTAAGTGAGATCATCACAGAAAGCAGCAGTTGCAGACTATGGAGAGGAATTAAATTTCAGCCAAACAAATTTAAAACTCAGCCAAATGAATTTAAAACTCAATCCATTTGAAAACTATGCTGAATATAATATGACATTTCTTAGTATTTGCTTTTTGCTTATAAAAAATGAAAATGAAAGACATTATGCCAATGTGGGGCTAAGCTAATACTATAATATGAAAATCAGTGTGGCACAGTAAGCATAAGGTCAAGGTCTGAATCCTAATTCAGCCACAAGAACCAAAGGTGCAGATATACTGAGCAAACCAAACATTTCAGAGTTAGAGCACTGATCTTCCTACTGCTAAGGTCCAAGGAATTATGTACTTCCATGTGTGCATGAATGCAAGTACATGCTCATCTGTTAATCAGTGGGAAATATAAAGCTAACAGAAGTTATAGCAACAATGCTAATATGTACAATGAAGAATGTAGATGTTAAAAATGTAATAAGATCAGAATGATACATTCATTAAGTCTAAGAAGTGCTGAATTAGCAAGCTTTTAAAATGAGTTTTGAATCTGCATTCTTAGAGAAAGCCAAAATTCAGTCCATGTTAACAGTGCTCAACAGTTTTGCAGATAACAGCAAAATCTCCCTATTTATGTCTTGAAGACAAATTATGGATTTAAAATATATATTTGACTTGCTGAGCTACAGTCACCTAACATTTTTAAACTCTCTTTTAAAAAATGCATTAGCCATCCTACTCATTTCATACCTGCCATTCTAATGGCTTCAAGTCCAACAGACAAAATTCAGTACAAACCCACCCTGCACAGGTAGCACATGCCCTTACCTTATCAAGTGTTATATTTTGCAATGAAGTTACCTGTGGGAAGGTCGACCATTTGTAATTCGTTTCTCACTAATCCCAGATTATTAGGCGTAGATGTAGCAAATGAAAGAAAGCCAGTCAAGCCTGTCCATTCAATACCCCTATCAAGGAATAATATTTAAGTATATTATATAGGCATTTGAGTTTATAGGAAATACTGTAGGTTAATGGGACAGGGAATATCAGTATGCATTATGGGGGGGTGGGGAGTGAACACAACTCAGAGCATTCAATGCTTTCCTTGCAAAAGAAAAAGACATGACCATCTTACCATAACACGGAAAATAAAAGTAGACTCATACAAAATCTTAACATATACAAAAGTTATATGGATAACTGCAATACAAAATATTCATACCAGTTTGATTCTAAAAAAAAATCACCAAAAAGTAGACCAAAATTCCAAGGAAGAAAGGGAACGGAAAAAAATACCCTATTCCTTTAAAGTTGTTCTATATAAATTGAACATAGAGAATGATATTAAAAGTGTATTTATAAAAATGTTGCTAAACCATGGGATTGATACCTGCATAATTTTATATAACCTGCTTTATTACTAACAGTAACATAGCAGCTATCTTAGCAATAATTCAAAGAATATAGTACTGTAAGAAGATATAAGGCAAGGCAAGGATTATTAATGCTACTCTATATTCAACACTGTTGTAGATATTTTCTTCCATTAAAAATATGAAATCTCGACATAAATTCAATATATTACAGATGGAAGCAAACTATTATTTGCATATCTATAATTTTATTTCAAAAACAAATACTGTAGTTCATGTACAGTTTTGAAAAAATGACCTGGTAGTATTTCTAATAAATTTTTAAAAATCTGCAAAGTATTCAAGATGTCCTGAAGGCTAGAGTACAAGGCAAGCATCTTGTACTCTCTAGCTCTTTTGTAAATACCTTCTTTTCAGAGGCCCATAAATCTAATTTGATTAAAAATTAAACATGCAGCATGCACCACTGAAAGCAAATCTATATTTTCATGTAAATGGAGAATGCAATAACTAAATTTGAAGCTTTGTATCAGGACAAGTATTCTAGTTATAATGGAAGTGTTCAGAAGCAGTCAATTTTCAATTTCCAAATTTCAAGTACACTGTCATAAAAACTGACATTTAATGCAATTAAGGGTTACGCTACACTTGTTTTATGGATTACAACTCTGCTTAAAATGTAACACTCATGGGCTTTATTAATAGCCTTTGTAGTGGATTTATAGAATAGAAAAATGTAGAGTCTCAGAGATCTAAAATCTCTGAATAATTCAAGGCAATCTATTTCATAAGTTCCCTTCTAGCTTCAGTAAGGAAACAGTGAAGAAATCAAGTTCCTTTGTTATATTTACCCATCAGCCCAAAACTGTTAGGTCATTTTAGTACATGTATGCATGTATCAGGTCAGGGAGCTTCTGCAAATGATGAGTATTAAAATGAATGTTACCACAGAATGTAATATAATACAACAAATCTTCCACTTCCATATCGTAATTTTTCATTCCTAATCTAGAGCCAATTAAAGACATTGCAGAACATATTTTTTCTAGGTAGCTTTAAAACAAAAATGTCCTTACTTGAATCCCATAATTCAAATTCTGTGGAACACCACAAAGAGCTTTTCCTAATGATGGAATCAAAACTTCACTTTTACCCTTAAAAGTATTTGTAGAGTGGCTCGTTGTATTGTGTGAGAAGGATTGCAGTGGAGAAATACTGCTGTATATATACAAATTTCTTCCTCACACTAGAAACCTAGAAAAATAATCCTGTAGTAAGGTGATACAGATCTTTTTGATCTTCTTTTAGTTGCAAATTATGTTTTGGAAAAAGGAATCAATTTGGTGAACAGCTATATCTGAAATACTGGATTTTTAAACAGTGCACAATTCCCTTCAGCTATAAAGCTCACTGGGCAACCCTAATCCAGTCCTACTTTGCAAGACTGTAGCCAGGATAAAAACTAATATATGGAATCATGAACAAGATACACTACCCTGAGTCCTTTAAAAGTAAGTAAGTAAGTAAGTGAGTGAGTGAGTAAGTAAGTAAATAAAACACACTAAGGTGGTGGTTTTAAATCAGTTCCTATTTTTTTCTTACTGATCCTGTAGGACATCATATAGAAAGTAAATGAATGACTCATTTCTACATTAGTCCTACAGTGGTGACATGTTAAAGTTAATGAAGACACTCCAAAGTATCTTTAGTTTCAGAAACTACTGAAAAAAAAAAAATCTTCCCCAAATAGTATTTTCATTAATCTCCTGCACAAAACAGGGAAGAGGAAAGCATGAATACATTATATATTCTTTGTAATTAGGAAATTTCACATGCACTTCCATTAGCTCATTAATTTTTACAAAAATACTTTTCTTTCCATATGCTATCAAAGAGCTTCAATAGGTAAGGGTCATATGGGGGGCTTCAACTTTGTTTAATTAAAACCTGAACAGTTTTAAAACACTTTGATATCACATATTTAACAAAAGGAAAATCTCAAGTTAGAGTACCAATGGAATGAAGAAGCTATGAAAATATAAATTTTAAAGTTATGAATATAACACTGTAAAATGCACCAACTGAACTTTTAATAAGATTTGCCATTTTAAATAGTTTTATAATTAACATTTGTGTAATACTATGACTGCTTTTTAAATGTTAAATGTTATAATATGATTATGAAAATATATCAGGCTCTTGAAGACTGAATATACCCAACATATAACGCCAGTAATATTTACAAGATGGCAGAGGGTAAAAATTATGTCAAAATTAAAAGCAACATAGAATGGCTACTTTCCCCAGGGACTTCTATGAGCAATGCAAATCCTCTATATGTAGTTCTCTGAGCTTGGTTGTTTGTTTGCAGACATTTCATTACCTAGCTAGGTAACATCATCAGTACGAGTAAGTGTGGGGTTTGTTCCCTGTTTATATACAGTAGCTTGGCGTGCCAGTTTTGGTGGGGGTGGTTTGTCCTTAGAGTTCCTTGATTAGGGTATTGTTTTCAGCCTGATAGTCCCTGCTTATCTGGATGTTGGCTGCTAGAGAGACTGTGTTCTGGTCTTTTTTTTCTTTTCCCCCTTCTTAGCTCAGAGATCATCAAGGACTCAACAGTTCAACCCTGAGCTACATATATTTTGTTCTATACAAATCGTCTATATGTTCTTGGCAACAAAGTACACATCAGGTTTTCATCTACTTCTTGCATTTTTGTCATCTTTAGTACTTAAATAAGCCAAACTCTGCCATGTGCTACAGATAAATGTCATGTATTATATTATATAAAATACTTTTAGACTTGCTTGAAGCTTTAAAAAAGATATTGGAACAAACAGCAATTTCTCTGCACAGACACAGATGTCTAAAAGAATATTTGTCATAACCATATTCAGAGAATAACATAAAATTCAAAGATTATGGTGAGTCCCAAATAAGATAAGCAACCAACTGGAAAAGACAGTGATTCAAATAGCTTTGCATGGCTATGAAGGCTTTTAGGCTGCTCGTCTCACATTGTTCTTCAGCCAGAAAAAAAAACAACTCTAGGAGCAGTTACAAGAATCAGTAAGATTCTGCCATACATGGTACAATTTATGCACAAAAGTGATTAGGAGGGATGGAAAGAAGGAAGAAGAAATTAAAATCTTATTTAAATTAATAGCATTTATTATTATGGTCAACTGGAAAGGAACCAAACAGGAAAAAGAGGACAAAAAATGGCTGATTCCTTCATAAAGCTAATACCCTTG